AAATAAGCTCGCAAAGGCAAACACGGCCGCCAACCCCCTCCCCCTCACAACGTCCGTGAAACAAGAAAAATCAACTATCAAAAAAATTTTCGCGGGCCGAGTACGACCCTTCCCCCTTCCCCGGTGACCAAATGTAACCTTGGGAACCCCCAAACGATGATTTATTTATTTATTTCCATACACTCAAGGTGTGCCATAAAAACTATTAAAAGAGAACACCGTGAAAGACGTGTCCTGTTCCCAGCCTATTTTCACAGACCAAGTACGACCCCTCCTCCTAGTGACCAAATGTAGCCTCTGGTGGGGAACCCCAACGATGATGTGCCTGTTCGCAGCCTAAGTGAGGTGGAAAGGGAAAAAAGTTTTTAATCAGTTCAAGACCACTAGGTGAAACACTAGAAGAAATGAATTTCTCAGGAACTGAATGTCACTATTCTTCTCAGCAGCATCGAAGAATCAACAAAGAAAGAATATGAACAGACGTGAATCAGGCCCTCGGGCGTTACGTACGAATGAATAAGACATTCCTGGGAATAGAAAGACTGCTGGAAAGAAGTACCACATCTCGAAGGAGAGAACCAGCTTTAAGCGATAATTACACGCATTCCTACAACAATGACTAAAGGACTATCAAATAAAGAGCGCTGAATTGAATGGCTCCGAGCGTCAGCAGAGCTGTCCATAAGGAGTACATAGAGAGCGCAAAGAAAGCGCCAGCGCGTCGCTTTGATAAGGCATTGCGAATATAAACTACGAAAGGACACAATAGACATGAGTATATTGAGCGATCCACTCACTACACAAGGCAACCAAGCGTGACACAAAACTATCACTAAAAATCTTCCCTAAAAAGGCCCAGTCTTCCTCGTAAATAAAGTCTGTTTGGAATGACATATAGCAAAGCGAAACCTATTTATGCCAGTGTCAGGCACTCCGAAACAGGTCGGATTAACTCGGGGTGTCGAACGAGAGTTGCACTCTCGCTGATCGAGCACTGGGTCTTAGTAATGAAGACACGTGGGAAAGTTGTCGGAATGTGGTCTCGAATCGGGGTGACCACTTGAGACCAACGACTATAGGGAAGCTAAAATATTGAAGAAAATCATGGCGCTGATAATCACGGAGAGGGGGGGGGGAGGCTTATCTATATCCACACAAATCCAACTGTAGACATGTGAGTACCGGACAACCTTGTCGACTCCTTGTAAACCTTGTTATCACCTGTCACCTCATGAACTTCTGTCAGACTTGTCAAAATTACTGGTCAAGATTTGGCTTATGATTAGCTTTTGACCGAGCTGAGTATTACAGCGGCACTTGGCAGGAATTTGCAGGACCGGCAGGATCAGATACGACTGTCTGATATGAACATGTAAACAGTTAACACGACTAACGAGGCTTTATACCAACATGATCCGCATAACCTCTCCCCCTCCATTTTATAATAAGCGCCAAAATTATTATATAGCAAATGGTTTCTGAAAGATTTTACCTGCCTCAAAAAGGCGATTTTATGAGTTCAAGAGATACGGGCCATTTTGCTACAGTTAATCATCGAAAAAGTGAGAACCAAGTAGGAAATGAGTATAACTCAAATATGCAGAATTCGGTGAGTATTAGGTAAATCTAACGGTAAGTGAATCAGTTAAACCAAGGTGAAAGGCTGCGAAACTTCTGAAAATGATCAACACCCCCTAAACTTCTGTCAGACTTGTCAAAATGATTATAATAATGTACCTTACAAGTCAATTCATGGCGCTCCAATGGCGCTCATACTATTTCGCCACGATTCACTTGTAGTTTACGGGGTACTCAACAGGAATTTACAGAACTAGCAGGGTGAAACAGAATGTCCAATGTTCACACGTATAAAAGCTTATATGCTGCAAGATGTCCCCCGCCAAGGTTATTAGGGCTCAAATTATCGTGCAAAATTGGTTTATGAAATATCCTAATCAAAGTCACCAAAAAGCAATCCTATGAGGTCAAGAAGCACAGGCTATTTCGCTGCAACTGACCAAAAATCAAAAAGCGAAAATCAAATTGGAAATAACTATGATCCAAGTTCTATTACAAAAAGAGCGTTAATCAAAATAAAAAGCTGTGAAAACTTCAGGCATATGCGTAATGAATTTCAAGAAAGAAAAGCAATTTCACGTTGAAATTATGAGCACGCAGAAATCAATCAATAAAATGATAAATGAAAACAAACCTGTACATGTCGTGTCTCGCAACAGCTGATCATGTGCTCGTTCCCACTCTCCATCAGGAAATTCACGCAGTTCTATCTTCAAATATAGATTATTGAGGATTATAAGCAAATGCATGGATTATAAGCTCTTTATTTCTTATTTCCTCCCATTCTTTCGATACATTATTTGCCGCAGCTCGGCGACGAAGGGGGGGGGGGGCATTTTGCACTTTTGCTGTTTTCCATCGACGTGTCGAGCCATCTAGAGAGCTGTTTCATGAGCTTACAAGAGTTGACAGGTTTCACCGTGGTGGCACGACGAGCTTGCTTCAGCTTCACAGGTTTCAACAGAGTGAGACTTGTTAGCTGGAACTAGGGAAGCAGCGAAAGTGCAAAGCTCTCCCCGAACAAGGCCTCTTCTTGCGTTGCAAGATATTACGTCAGTTTTTTGCGTAACAAAGCCTCTCCCCCCACCATGGAATCCAACTTCTAAAAGTTTCCGCTTATAGAATAGGAGAATAGGATTCGGCGGAATAAAAATAGATCACTGGCAGCTGTTTAAGCAATCTGTCCTCACCTGATAGCCCAAGACACCGCGGTCGCCTTTCCTTTGGAGAGGAGCACTCCAAGATAGCGTTACTTCACCGATCGCTGTTCCTACCACGTCAGGAGCGGTTGGAGCAGCAGGCACGTCTCGTTCTCAAATAAAAGATGATAATAGACTGGTAACGCGATTGGTTGCCAAACTGGACCCACATGGTAATGCGGTCATCATGGAGATTACACTGCTCGAAAACCAGTTTTTCCAATAAGAACAAAACTTTAACCATTTCAAAGACACACTACACAACTGTTTTTAAATCGTTTAATTCCGTGCGCGAGATGGGCAGGTTCCTGGCTGTGAAAGGGTTTGCTGCCAACCAAAAGTGACAGCGATGATGCTTGAGGTTTGCCACAACCTAGTCTCGACTCGATCTCCGCTCGCTATATGGCACGCGCTACGCACGCCACAGTCACGCCATACGGCCAGCCGTGGACATAACTATATCCACCTGTCTGGGTGTTCTCACGTATGGCCAGCCGTACTGCGTATGTCGTGGCTGTGGCGTCGGCGTTGCGTATCGGACGGCAACACAAAAAAAGCTTATGTGGATTTTGGCTGCAGTATCGATCGCAATGACAGCTTACGTACCTTTCGGTGATTTAATGACCCTGATAACTTTCTATCCCTTTCGCATCAAAGAAGCAGTTCAAGGTTTTGTAAAAAAACTTCTAGGGTGTTATCCCATTTCCCTCAATTGTAATTTGAAATTTGTTTTTTCTTCAGTAATTGCAGCAGCACACTCTCGTAATGTACGAATAAATAAATAAATAAATAAATAAACCCATTGGAGGGATGTCAAATCCCCACAACTCTCTAACTTGACTTCTGCACGCTTCCGATCAGCGGGTATGCTAAACTTCTACGGCTCTGCACCTTCCACCGCACTTACGGAGAGGATCTACCTCTCAGATAATCGTGTAGTGTGCCAGAGAGAAATAAGCATTCCTATCGTCCCTGATCAATACAAATGTGATAAAAAGCATTAGCGCTACCTTCACTCATATTGACGTATCGACTGCCTAAGGGAGGTGCTGGAGGAGGTGCTGACCTGCTTTCTTCTTCATTCTTTTGTAACCTTAAATGGAAAACGCATACAAGTTTTCGAAAGACGTCACCTCGACTGATACCCACCTGATGCCTAGATCATCCATGGGTGCACCATGTTCTGCGACCGGAGACGGAGTAGGAAGACCCGACGCGTCGAAGTACATATCGGCATATGGACTATCAACGGGAATTTGACGCACAGATCTTGTTGTCGTGACCTTCGTCACTCTGGTAACCTGAAATACAACTGGTTCATTATCGGTGGCGAAGAGGTGAATCCCCCTACGAGAAATCTTCAGTTGGCTGAGAAATTTACGATGCAGCAACGCGCACAGGAAAGCTAAAATACCCTAACTATCTTTCAACATATTGTAGCACCTCCAGGTTAAGTGGACGAGGTCCTGGTATGAATGCGCACTATGACTTCACTTTTCGCCTCATCGCCGCAAAATGGACTTCCCGACCTATACGCCGGATTTCAGCGAGATTCAAAAAATATCAACCATTACTAACGCAACGACAAATTTTAAGAGAAAACGAACATTGTCCTTTGGAGGCAGTAATTGCCCGCAACCTGTGGGCGGAACATCTGCAGCCGTGTATAGAAATGACGCAGGTTGACTGAGAGGGGGCATTTGCTGGTTCCCACCGATCACTGCTACTGCCTCCTGCAGATACGGGTTAAGCTCTGCAGAGCTATGCAGTAACACGAGCTACTTACACACTTGACAAGAGTCTAGATGTTTACCCAAGTTTAAAATGTAACAGAAACTATAAAAGGAGCTTGCAAAAGTGCAAAATGCCCGTCCAAAGCCGAACGGGGTCAAAAAATACTGTAGCCTTCGCTGCAGACGTTAAGGCGTGTCAGGGGTTGGGTGTGGCACATTGCCAGCTCGTTATCCACTAACCGCCGGAGAGGACAAGAACAATAACTGGTGGAAAACCGGCTGGCGCCGCGCCAAACCCACTCTGCTGATTGCTGATATGTACTAGCGTCTACAGCGGAAAAAACTACCAGCACGGCCTTCAGGAATGACTCTTCAGCGAAGTGGGCACGTTACCCATTCATTCACACTCACCAATAGACAGTACTAGCGGTCAGGAAAGTCCCGCAAAAGGATTGTTTTTGAGGACGTACGGAGAAAGTTTTTGTGCGCTTGTCAGAGAATGAATGAAAGGAATCTTGTAGGACATAATCAAACATG